ACGTCAGGGAATATTTTGGTTAAAGGATTAAAGATCATTTCAGGGCAGTAGTTTCAGGGGTTCATCAGCTTCCAGATTTTCCAGAGCCATGAAGGCTGAAACTGCTGAAACACTTACCCCGAGACAATCTTTAAACCTTAAACCAAAAATATCCTGAGGTCATCTTAAAGGTGAACAATGGTTTATTTTCACTAGTAAAGAATGTCTTGAGCATTGTGGTCTTTTAAGAACTATCCGTATGAGAGAACATTGACAAAAACAACTTGAAAGAGTAAATAGGAACATTAGGGAGCCATGAGTTTATGTTAACGGGGGAGGAACAATTTGGAAAAGGGTAAGAACAGTTGCAACACTCCAAGAATGTAATCAGTGCCACTGGATTGTACAAGTAGAAATTGTTGAACTGGTGTATGTTGTGCTGTGTGTATTCTCAACAAAAATAAAATAAAGTAAAATAAATTTATATAGATGAAGCTGGATAGGGGTGGAAAGCCTATGTCAGATTGGTCACAACTTCTAGCAGCATTATGGTGGCCACAGCTGGTACATGCTACCAGGAGTTTTCACCTGCCTACTCAGTGAAGGACAAATATTAGATAAAGGCTGAGACACTTGGTCTCAATAGGAATGGCCATAGTAAATTTGATCCCTTGGTAATCTTAGAGCCATCTATCTGATATCCCCATCAATGTACCTAAAAACCAAAAAACCAAACACACTGCTGTCAAGTCAGATCCAACTCATAGAGACCCCTCCTTGGGTTACCTGTTGGTGTTGTTGTTGTTATGTGCCATCGAGTCGGCCCTGACTCACAGCGACCACTCCTTGGGTTTCTGAGGCATTATCACTACAGAAGTAGGATTGCCCAACCTTCCTTCCGAGGAGTGGCTGGTGAGTTTGAACTGCCAGCCTTCTGGTTAGCAGTCAAGTGCCTTAGGCACTATGCTACCAGAGCTCTAGCTAATATGAAATCTAAATGTCAAGATACATGAGAAAGGGAGACCTGCATTCATCCACTGGGGCTGTGTGAAGGAGCAGAGGGTTAACAAACATAGGCTCCTTGTTAGAAAGTAAAATCCTGTGGGCAGAAACCAGAATCAATGTGATTTAATATGGGTTGATTTCCCTCCTTCTCATTCACTCTACTTAAGAGTGTTAGCCACTCATCCCAACCCCAAACAACATGAAGGAGATATTCCAACCATTATTACGTTCTCTCTCCCCTAGTGGGAAAAAATACCCAGGACAGTGGCAGACACAAGGCAGTCTTCATTTCTTTCACACATTAGAAACATCTGCAATTAATAGTTCAACTTCTCTAAGGTCCACATCAAGTAGTAAAATGCCAAGAGCACAACAAAAGCCTGGATGGAGGGAATCCCTGTTGATGAGGCACTAAGTGAGAGATTTCACCCCACTTCTCTACTTGACAAACTGGAGGCTCATGCAGATCCCTGAGAAAAGAGTCATTCTGGCTTGTACCCTGAAAGAATTCTATTCTGCAGTCCCACCCCAGAGTGTACCTATGAAGGGACACTGAAGGAGAGGTCCTTGCTGAATGACTACTAGTAAAATATTAAAGGAAAGCTAATTCATTTGGAGAGAAGCTCTTTTAATAATGGGGCCATCCTCTTAGCAGAGCTTCTCTTTGGAATGAAAAGGGCCTAGATACTCTCATAGTTGCAGGTTACACATGAGTCAGACTAGTCTCTGTGAGGTTCCCACAGCTGGTAAACTGTCACATCCTGTAATCAAACCAAAAAAAGCAGGTATATTCTGGTGGAATTCGGGGGCTTCAGCTCATCTCAGAAAAGTTCAGTAATGTCTCAAGCAAATGAGCAGAGATGGAAGGTTACAGAAAGCCTAAGGTGCTTGCAGGTAAGTTATTTGATAGGGCAGTCAGACAGCTGATGGGGGGCAAAAGAAGATGGTGAACAGCATCTCTAATGGCTCCAACCATACATTAGATACTCATTATGACCAAACAGCAGTCTTAAGGAAATAAAATTTACTTGGAGGCTGTTCTGTTTTCTGATGGGCTTACCAGAAAACTCAAGAAACTATCCCAGTGAGTACTCACCCATGAGTCTTACCCTCTCTTTCACAGTTGCTCTTGGAAGCCCCCATCCTATCCTCAAACACCCAGAAGGGAATCAGACAATGCTTTGCCTTGCTTCGGCCTCAAAGGATGGCTCCAAGGTCTCAGGTCTGCCCCGAGGGTGTCGGTAGCAGCAGACACAGTGGAGGTAGTCAGCTACATTGTGGGTGAAGAGTGAACGCAATGGATGCAAGTACTGGAAGAAAAGAAGCATGAAGCCAATGGAAATGAGATAAGCAATAATGAGCTGCAAGGCAATCAGGGAATGACAGTAATTCAGTAATACTTTCACTCCAAAGAACTTAAAAACCAAAACCATGATCACATTTTCCACCAATCTCACACTATAGTGCAGGCCCATATGGCCCCAGTTTTGGCCTTTGTCAACAAGTTCCCGGTCCGCCAACCTCAACTGCATGGCTGACCAGCAAGAGAAGTTGATACCAGCATAGAGGACAGTGACTGAAATCAGGACGACCAGAGTGCCTACCCGGCTGAAATTTTTCTCAATGTTACTGGGCATCTGGGCACCACTCCTCCAGAACTTAACCCAAGGCTCAAAGAGGATGATCAGGAAGTTGAGCAATAAGAAGGGCACAGCCTTCAATTTCAAGGTGGCTGAGAAGAGCACCAGAATCACTAAGCGGGAAGTGATCTCCAATGACCTCCAGATGGTGATGCAGAGGACTTCTAGTGGCCCAAGTCGAATCTTGTAGTCATCATACTTGATCTGGATAGCCAACATATTGCAGAGGGTAGCCCCATAGGTGACAGATATCAGGGAAAAGACCATTAGCACAGCTGTAAGAAAGAAAAAAAAAAGAACAGAAAAAACAGGTAGTCAATGGTGATGATGAAGGCTGTACTAAAACCCAGAGGTCCAGAGAGATGATAGGTGAGACTTGAGGGCTCCCATATGATCACAGCTATGCAAACAAATAGCATGCACAGAAAGAAAATGAAAACAACCCAAAATGTCTTTTTATAATTGGGTTTTAAACAAGTATTTTCCCTTTTTTCTACTTTTCTCTATTTTCTAAATTTCCCATGATGAACATACAATGTAATACCTTAGTAATCGTATAAAATACAAAATGAACTTTTTAAAAAGAATGAGTTTTAGAACTAATATTGAGATGTCACTAACATGAGAAGACCACACATAAAGGGATAGGGCAGCATTTACATGATAAAACAGCTTCTGACCCAACACTGAAAGAGGCAAAAAAGAGCCTCATCTGAAAAAATACAGTCTTATTAGGAGACTCATAGAAAATGCCCTTGCTAATAGAAGTCCCTTCTTTAAAGTAGGTCTTCAACAAACTAATGTTTGTGAGTGCTTCTAGAATCCTTAACTTCAGTGACATGTATCAAAACATGTACTGGAAATTTCATTAGGGCAGAAGGGATCATGTCTATTTTGTTCAGTGCTGTAGCCCCAGAGGAGAGTGGTGGTGTAGTGGGTAAAACACTTGGCTGCTAACCAGAAGGTCGGTGGTTCAAACCCACCAGCTCCTTATGGAAGGAAGATGAGGCAATCTATTTCCACAAAGATTGACAGCCTTGGAAACCCAAAGGGGGTGGAGGTTGCTATGAGTCGGAATCAACTCAATGATAGTGGACTTTGTTTTTTATTATCCCCAGATACACTACCTGGAACATAGTAGGTGCTCAAAAAGGTTTGTGAATGAATAGTTCTGAATTTCAAGCAGCAGCATAAGCTATCTAGAATTTGAAGCCCTTGGTTCAGCCATGTGGATCTTGTGGAAGCCACTGAATATCTATGTGCCTTGGTTTCCCAATTCACTGAGATACTCAGAGTTGCCAGTATTTAATTACGCAGAGTTGCCAATTCACCACCCCCATGCTTTGATATGCTTAAGGGATCCCTGGACTTCTAGCAGTGGTTTTAAAAAAACCAAAAACTCATTTTCTGGCTCATGACATCAGTATCAACATATGTCAGAGCAGAGGAACCTGAAGGATCAGGATGCTTTCTAATATTATATTAAGTCTCAACTGTAGAAAACAGAGATGACTCTTTCCTCTGTTTCCTTTATTACAAAGGATATAGATTACTAAGAAACAATATAGTGCCCTCAAGGAGAGCCAGAGCCTTGGGGGCTACTTTTCCAAAAGAAAAGCCAACGCTTTCTGTTCCCACCAAAAAGACTGGATTCAGGGTAACAAGAACTAGGGAGAAGTCAATTTAAACTGAAAGAAAAGCTGCCCCATAGAAACCCAAAAGGAACCACACCTTTGTTTATTATTATTTTTTTCCATCTATAAGTAAAGTGTTGGAATCTTCAAGACTGGAATGGGGAACTGTCTTAAAGTGGCTACTTATGGCTTTATAAACTACTCTCAGTCCCATCTTCAAGAGCTGATGCTTCATGTACACTTGCAAATGTCAGACTGTTTATGCCTTCTCTTAAATTAGAACTCATTTATTAATGTTGTTGTTAGGTGCCATTGAGTCAGCTCCAACTCATAGCAACCCTCTGTACAACAGAATGAAACACTGCCTGGTCATGCGCCAGCCTCATAATTTTTGCTGTGCTTGAGCCCATCGTTGCACCTATCATGTCACTCCATCTTGTTGAGTGCCTTCCATGTTTTTGCTGACCCTCTATTTTACCAACCATGATATTCTTCTCCAGGAACTGGTCCCTTCTGACAACATGACCAAAGTAAGTGAGACATCTGGTCATTCCTGCTTCTAAGGAATATTCCAGCTGTACTTCTTCCAAGATAGATTTGTTGGTTCTTCTGGCAGTCTATGGTATTTTCAGTATTCTTCCCTAACACCACAATTCAAAGGCATCAAATCGTCTTCGTCTTCCTTATTCATTGTCCAGCTTTCACATGCATATGAGGCAATTGAAAATAGCTGGCTTGGATTAGGTGTACCTTAGTCTTCGAAGTGCCATCTTTGTTCTTTAGCACTTTAAAGAGGGCTTTTGCAGCAGATTTGACCAGTGTAATGCAATGTCTGATTTCTTGACTGCTACTTCCATTGGTGATGATTGTGAATGCAAGTAAAATGAAATCCCTGAAAAATTCAATCTTTTATCCATCTATCATGCTACTGCTTATTGGTCAAGTTGCAAGGATTTTTGTTTCCTTTATGTCGAAGTTCAATCCATACAATGTAGTCTTTGACATTTATCAGTAAGTGCTTCAAGTCTCTTCACTTTCAGCAAGTATGGTTGTGTCATCTGTATATCGCAGGTTGTTAACAAGTCTTCCTCCAATCCTGAAGCCACATTCTTCTTCATACAGTCCAGCTTCTCGGATTTGCTCAGCATACACATTGAAGAAGCATCGTGAAAGAAGACAACTCTGATGCACACCCTTCCTGATTTAAACCATTCAATATCCTCTTGTTCTGTTCAAATGACTGCCTCTTTGTCTATGTACAGGTTTCTCATGAGCACAATTAAGTGTTCGGGAATTCCCATTCTTCTCAATGTTATCCATAATTTGTTATGATCCACACAATCAAATGCCTTTTCATAATCAGTAAGACACAGGTAAAGATCTTTCTGATAGTCTTTGCTTTTAACTAAGGTCCATCTTACACTGTTTGGTACATTACCGTGCACCTTTAGTAATAGTCCATTTAGGCTAAAAGGCT